ATATATTTGTATGTATTTATGTATATATAAAATAATTCGACCAGCATGGCCATCATGTGTCTTCTTCAGAGGGGTAGTTTTATTTTTGTTTTCATAATGCATACTTTTATTTGTGAAAGCTAAGCTGAAAAACTTCATCTAGTACACTCATATTTAACTTGCCATCTATTGTAACATCTGTTATTTTCAACACTACCGCTTCATAATTTTTGCCCTCCCACTGCATGGGTGTTTTTGGATCGTTTCCCTTCATTTGTCTTAGTCTGCTTTTTTTTCCCCAGAATGAATCTCATTTGATTATTCTCAGACTGCATTTCTATTCTCTCTGAGTCCCTGTGCATTATTTCCTTGTCCCCGTTATTTTTGCAGCTCCTCCAAATGTGATATTTCCTGGAGATTTAAGTTAGCATGCTGTCTAGAGTCTCTTCTGGTTCATTAAAGAAAATATCAAGTGAAATAGAACCTAATACAGGTCTTTGCAATATTGCACCTTCTTCCAGTGTTATCCTTCGCTTTTATCATGATTTATTTGCAGCCAGTTTTCAAATCAAGCCACAGCATTCATCTCAAAGTGCAAATCGCTATCAAATGCTTACTAAAAATCAAACACATCACATCTGCTCCTTTTCCTTAGATTCCTAGTGCTGTAACACTAGCCAGAAAAGGGGCCAATTTCTAGCCAGTTCTGCTCGTCTGAATAGAAATCACGGTTTCATTGTCCTCAGGCTTGTAGCCTGGTTTACTTTATTGGAAGCCTCGTGAATTAAAACAGCTGTGCAGCCCATTCTGAAATTCAGTTTTGTGGAGAAACAGTGCTGGGAACAAAACAAGTGGAGTTTATGCATTTGAGGGGGAGAAAGAGGAAGGAGGGATATTGTGTGTGGGGGGAGAAGGGGAGTCACTTCTATCTCCCTGTGTAAGGTAAGTAACTCAGTGATGGCAGTTGGGTATATTTATGAAGAACTGTTCAAATCCCTGAATATTCCTGTGTTTCTAGGCCATGGTTTCCATATGGTTAAGTGTTTTGCACTGTCCTGCTTTGCTCTCCCATGGCCTGTGATGGTGTTGATATTTGAAGCTATGACCAAACTAAAGACATGGGATGGCATCAGCAACCACCTCCTAGCTGGGTTCCCTGGAATATTCCTCTGTTTTAGCTGTATCTGTGACACAGAAAAGCTGTAACACTTCAGGGTTGTGGTAAAAGGAACTTTATTTCTCTTAAGTACAACATATAGCTGTTTTGGGTAAGAAACAAAGGAATTGAGACAAACATGAGGAGATGGCAGGGGCTATAGGATAAAAAGTGAGAGCATGCTTAACCAAGAACTCTTTCAATGGGAAATGTGTGAGTTATAGACCCTGGAAATCAAGCAGAAGGCATCTCATTCATGGATTTTTGCTTTGACCTGGCCATAATAAAATCTTGAAAGTTTCTAGTGACACTGCCTGCACTGCACTGGTTAGAACAATATTTTATATCAGTGATTTAAAAAGATTGTTAGTACCCCTTTTCAGCTGGGAACAGGCAGAAATCAATTTAGTCTGTTTCTCTAAAAAGGGTTGACTTATTTGTTGGATTGCATACTGTCTGCTCTTGCTTTTACCTTCATCCTCCCATCCTCCAGTCTATTGCTACCTGCTCACTGCCCACCCTGGACCCCACCTGCCATGGTGGGAAGCATGGCATGTGGCAGCCTAGGTGTTGATATCTGTAGTGTTAGGTCCCTGATGAAGAGCAGGATGGGGCTAGGGAAAAGCATAGGCTGTGCTTTGCACTGATGAAGAAATCTGACTTGGCCTACAGATGAAAATTGTTTCTGTCCAAATCTTGGGGAGGAGGGTAAGAGTGTGGTTTTGGTTTCAGGTGGGTTTTTTTGCATGAAGTTCAGCTTAAGCAATTTGCACAAATACTGCTATTGGGGCTCCTGATCTAAGCTTTTAAAATTATTCCTAATATGTTAAGTACTGTTTGTGTGAGGCATCAGAGGAATTGAATCTAGCAAGATGCTATGAAGAGATGTTGGAAGCTATGTTTTGTAATAATCTTACAAATTTTCATATAATGTACTGACAGTATATGCCTTCAGCATTGTGGCAACTGCAGGCCTAGATATACCTCAGAAATGCCTTCATCGTTTTCTTGCTGTGTGCTACATTTTCCACCTGGAAAATCCCTTTTTCTTTGGTGGCTGCACTAAAGAAATAAGGCTAAAAGGACTGTAGCCACTTCAAGGTTTGAAGTCCCAGGCTTTATTGGGGTGCACGGAACTGTGGTCTGTCTCTCTGCTTTCTCCTCTTCCTCCCCTCCCCAAGTACAGACCTAAACTGAGTAGTCCAGACCTAATGAGCAACTCCAGACCTAACCAGTGCCTCCTCTCACAGTTTGTTTGACTTTGTCCCCTTTGCTGAGACCCCGTGCTACGTAGATTTTGACCAAATCAGAAACTGTCAAGGAGTGTCTGAGATACGCAGAGCAACCTGGGTGCCGCAGGTGTCTGCCAATGCACACCCTTCATCACGGCTGCACAGGTGGACCACAGTGTGGCTGGAGCCTCCTGGCTCTGCAGTCCCTGGAACAGGGCTGGCAGTGGTCCCTGTCCTCACTCCTCTGCCTGCTCTGCTCAGCGTAGCCAACAGGTCGGTTCACTCTCCACCAAGTGCAGCTATGATTGAAGGATTTGTTTTCACTTTGCGTTATTATTTACTATGCTGATCAAAGGAGCCACTCCTTGTAATCATAAAGGGAAGCCTTAAAATAATATTTAAGAGCACAAGTATTTTGGGCTTTGACAGATATGCTTTGAAAACAAGACAGATGTGCTGTGTCAGATTTCACCACTGCGTGCAGTGTCTTTGTTTCAAACTGTAAATTCGGCTAGTAGTGCTGGGCATGTGCTTTCCCAAAACCTTGTCTCCTGCAACAAAGGAAAAACAAGTTTCTGGGTTGTGGGGTGTCCCCCCCCCAGTATACTCCCTCAGAGAATGTAAAAGGAAAATGATCTTAGCAGAGTGAGCAGTCAGCCCTGCGAGGCTGCAAACTTATGGGTTATTTTTAACCTAATTACCTCGAATTAAACAAAAGCTTCAGATTTTTTTTTTGCTTGAATTGAAGGTGAGGCTGAGTAGACTTCATTTGCAGAGCAAGTCCAGCCAACGACATGCTTCTTCCATTGTGCCATGCAGAATAATGCCCGTGGCACTGCACTGCGCTAACGAATGGCGCTTGATTTTCTGAAGTGCTGCCTTTTAGGAGTTGATGCGAGAGGATATGCAGCTCTAGAGCAGTTCACTCCTTTCCCATTCTCATCCCTCCTATGGATACAGCGATCACTTTGGACTGGTGACGTTTTAGATGGAGCATGGTCTCCTTACACTTGCCTGGCAGTGGCTCATTAACTGCATGTTAATTGAAACTGAAAGAGTTTCAGATGATTCAATTCAGTTACATGTTAAATGGATTCAGTGCAGTAAGCATTACTGCTGTGATGAAAATCTCTGTGGAATTGATTTGTGAACTGATTTGGAGGGATTCAGTGGCTTCATCAGCAGCTCTGAGAGATCAGCATCAGGAGAGCGGGCAGAGGTAGCCATGCTCCCAGCAAAACAACTCATACTCTTCTCTTTTACCCTAAACAGTTTTAATTACTGCCCAGTATGTTCCTTTTCCAGGACTTGTGTTAGGTAGATAAATATACTCTGGAGAGCTGAACAGTGAAGAAGAAAATGAGAAGAATCAAAAGTCTGTTTTGGATTCTGTAGTCTAAATGGCTGAAATGTTCAATTCCTTACCTTTCAGTAGATGGAGCAGTCCTAAAATTTTTTCTGAAGTTTGACTCATAGACATGTAACCCAAAAAAATAAAAAGGAAAAAGCATATGCTTTAAAGTAAAGGATGGAAAATTCAAAATTTACATCCTCCATAACTCCATCTTTTATACTTGGCTACTGCAAAAGTTCCTCTTAAGTGAGCACTTTATTCTGTATGCTTTACCTGTCTATATGCTTGGTTTCCACGTGGAGCCCATTTTTATTGCTGAGTTATAAACCCTTTGAAAATAGGGGCTTGTAGTGGAAGTGCTGACAGACCTTTAACTAGGTCAGTCTTATCTGACTCTGTTATCTTTGCTTTTGTTAAAGCATTAAATGGTTGCAGATTTGTTTATTTTTCTTGCAGTCCCAGAATTTTAACATGGGTATGTTATCGAATTGTTTTTTCTTCAAAATGTCATGAACATGCAGCATTAGAGAGTTTATCCAGGCTCCACAGTCATCTTTAAAACTAAATTGAACTGTTGTGTCTTATTTAAAGATTTTCTTGTTTAAACAGTACATTTAGTCTGTAGCATGTCATTACGATCCTAATACCAAAGTTTCCTTTTTCTCCTGCTATCTTAGTCTAATCTTGAATTCTGCTCTGTCTTTTGGGCTCCTTTCTGCATAAAATGACAGTGTTTTTTTTTGTTTGTCCCATTCAGATGAAAAGCCATACCACTGCAACTTTCCTGAAGAGGAAACCCCAATGATAACATCTCAGTTGGATGAAGTCCCAAAGCTGGGAAGCCACAACGCCAGAGAAAATGAAGCCAGGGAATCTAAACCAGAGATTCCTGCCTTGGTGCCACCACTGGAGAGCGTCATCAAGGAACCCTTTTCGAAATACCAGGATCTGAAAGGTTCTGCAGACATAAAGATGCCAGCATTCCATCACAGCCAAGGGCTTCTTTGCTCCAGTCACATTGCTAGCATTGCTTCAGGTGTGGGCCAGGCATGTTCAAACATGGTCATGGACTTGAAAACATCACTTGAAGTGCAGGCTAGTCGTGTTAGAGAAAATTTTCTAGACTTGCACAGGGAGCATCCTCTGATAGAAAAAGGTGCTGAAGATCTAGAGGTAGCTCCACTCGATTTGAGTGATAAATCAACAAGGGATAATTCATGCAATAAATATCTAAATACATCCTTGCAGGCTGCTTTAATTGTCTACCCATGTCCTTTCTGCAGTCACAAGACCTACTACCCTGAAGTCCTGTGGATGCACAAAAGAATTTTGCACAAAATCAGCTGTAACTCGATGGTACCCCCTTGGGTTCAACAGAACGGATTCAAGAGTATTAAAAACAACCTGGTCTTTCTGGCAAGGAGTGGGCGTACTGGCCCCCCTCCTGTTCTCGGTGGTAAGGAGTGCCAGCCTTTGCCCATTGCCAGATTTACACGCACTCAAGTGCCAAGTGCATTGCCAGGGTCCAAAAACAACTCTCTTTCTGTTGGGATGACTGCGAAGTCCGGGAGTACGCATCAATCAAAGGACAGTCATGCCTTCAGCCACTGTGGTCCACGTGTATCAGGTCTGGATGGGTACAGACAGCCCAAGTTAAACCATTCCCAGGAGCAGTACAGCATAGCAGCACAACAAAAAAGTAAATACGAAGCAAATTCCAAACTTACGCAAATGGGAACCTATAGCAGAAGCGTAACACCTACTCAGACGGTCATATCCAGGCCTAGCTCACAGCCCACCAATAGTAAGCAAGTAGAGAAGTATGTGGTCCCCCAAGGAAGTACTAGCTTTGCCCCTCCAGGTAAGCACTGTGCATCTGACTCCATGAAGGCCAAATACAACCCACCCCTGCAGTATCATCCTCTGTGTAAAAGTGAGCAGTACGCTAAACACGAAGAGCCGTCGGTGCCTCAGAGGGAGTCTCACATGAAGTCTGGGAATGAGATGAGGACATTGGCAAACTGTACAGCAGTAGCACGAGCAAGTCCAGTGCTGCAGCCCCAACCTAGTGCCGTGGGAGTTTCTCCAGCTTTACACTCCAGCAAACAGGATCTGGGATCAGATGGGCATGAAAAACACTTGGACATCTTAAATATCTTTAAAACATACATTCCAAAGGACCTTGCTTCATTGTACCAAACCTGTGGTGCCAACAGCCCTGTCCTGGATCACACAGGTAAGATTTTCAGCAGCTCTTCCACAGCTGAGGACATAGCTTGCTTGTTCCTGCTTTGTTCAGAGCCATGACATGCTGTTTCCCAGTTTTTTCCTTCTCTGCCTTTAACAGTTGGGATTACAAGTATGTTGTTTTTATCATTTCTGGATAGGCTTGAATAGGTTTGTTTACTGCTCTCTTAACATTGCAGCATCCCCCCTCGTGCACTGTGTGACATTTCTGTTGCAGGTTAAATGTATCTGGTTCCACTTGGAGTACTGCTGTTCTTTTGTCCTCTTGCTTCAAGCAGGCTAAAGTTACACAGATGTGCTGTCACAGGAAGATCCCCCTGATATGCTGGTGCTGGCACACATCATCATCTTTTTGCTTCAGGCAAAATAAACATCCTCTGGGGCTTATCTGTGATGTTATTTTGGAGATTTTGTTCAATTTCGTCTGCAAACAAGTCTTCCAGCAGCAGAGAGGGATAATCACTTGTCAGTGTCCTTTGTCTTCCTTGACAAAAGTCTTAAGATCTTCCTTGTCCATATCAAAGGCTGCTACCTTATTTTTCGACTGAGTCTTTTGATCTGTTTGTTTGTTTATATTTTCAAAGAGGTAGGGCTGAATACCTGTGCCTGCTGATCACATAAGCAGAAAAGTCAGTTGGGCAAGTAGCCAGTTTAAAAGTTCAGGGACTAAATAAGTTCAACTTCCATGTGAAAAAAAAGGTATTTGTATTTGAAGCCATAATCTTCTGATGATCTGCCAGAATTAGTTTGTCTCGATGGAAACCGAAAATCACACTGATAGATTACACATGAGGGGTGGGGGTGGGTGGGGGTGTGTATAGGGGAGGAGAATGGGAGCCACATCTCACCTCTCACCATTTGTTAATCATCCCATTTTTATATACTACTTCTCTTTGTAGAAGTTGTGCAAGTAAACTCCACATGAAAAGAGCACATGCTCCAGACCTCACCAGACATACGCTCTCTGTTTTGGCAAAAGCATGTGTGAAATGGAGCTTGTGACCCCATTTTGCAAGTGGTACAAAATCCAGGATATTTGGAAGCTGGTAGTGTTAAGACAGCTATGGTCTAGTACCCAGAAGGTGTGTGCTAGTTGCCCACTCTGGCAGCTCCGAGGCAAGGATGAAGCAATAGTGATTAGTCAGGTCTTGGTGGAAGGGCCTTTTGGAGAAGACAGGAATGCAAAACATGTCTGAAATAGTACATGAGGTGTACCTTTCAGCCACTCCATTGCCAGTCCATGAGGTGCACCTTTCAGCTATTCAGTCATTTTAAAAAGTAGGGCTGTGTAGGGGCCAACTGTTATTTATTGGGCAGATCATTTCACAGGTGGTTAGGGGCTGTGTGATGATTGTAACTAGCATCAGGCTCCTGGATTTCATTAAGGAAGCAGAGGAGGACATGCTCAGTTTCTAAACCTGCAGGGTTGGTGTTCCTCTTCTTTTACTTCAGCCAACTTTACTTTTGCTATCCCAGTGCCTAGGAATGCTGTCTGAAGTTTCTCCCTGCCCACTTTCTACTCTAAATACCAGTTAATTGTTCCACCACCAACTTGGGGTACCTTTCTGTGGGTGCCCTCCTTGATGCTATGTAATACTACAATGTGTGAACCTGCTCAGAGAAATCTTACTGATGCAGTGAGCTGCCAGCCCTGTTAAGAGTGATGGGAAAAACCAGTAAAGCTAGGAACTAGAAGCCGACTTAGTGAATGCCAGTGCCAGAAAATTCATGGTGACTGTTGGAACAAAGTAAAATAGGGGCAGAGTTTCCAGAGAGGTCTCTATTTACCTGCTTTTTAAAAGAGGGATTTTATTGCCAAAATGTTTTTTCTGGGCAGTGATTTCCAGAGACACTTTAACTGGAAGTTATTTAGTGCCCGTCTCTGCTTTGAAACCTCTTCGTTCATTCCAAATGTTTTACAGCAATCAGGTTTTCAGAATTTGAAACCTTTTTTTTTTTTAATGCAGCTTGTCTTCATTTTATATACAACTTCCAGGTTGTTGATGTTTCTACAAACCAATTGGCATGATGGCTGTTTTTCATAGCACTCAAATAAAAAGCTGCTTCAGGCAACAGGAACGAGATCCTACCAACTGCACATAGAGGAGGGTAATTGAACTTTGTCTGAAATAACATATAGCCCTAGATAGGCTGAGCCCTCTGAGTCAGTATGCATCATACAATTTAGTCTTAATATCACAGTGTGAATATGGCAATCATGACGTAAAAGGCAACCAAAAATCCAACTTAGGTATCCTATTTGTCATGTTTTTTACCTCAATTGAATATTCTCAATAGACTTCACTTGGTTTTTGGTTTATGATGTCATCTTGGATCACACTAGAATATTTTAGTGTACAGTGTTCAGTGTTCAGCTTCCTTTAGAGTGACTACATTTATTCCTGGGATCCTTTCTCTTACTTTGGTGTTTATTCCAGTGTGCCCTTGGAAGAGAGTTGTTGTTATGTGCTATTGTGATACAGCTGCAAACACAAAGCTTGCTATGCTTAGGCTAGGTTCATTTCTCACTTCCCAGTCTTCCTAAATTCTTGTAGAGAGACTCTTACTGTTCTGTTTAATAGTGGGTATTTATTTTATTCATGACATTTACTTGAATCACCATATTAGGAAAGGATGGGTCGTGACAGCAGATGCACTCGTTTCTCTGGGGCTCCTTTGAGACCAGCTTTGAGCATCGATTTCACAGGAACTCCCATTCAGATAGTCATGTTCGTTTACCTTAGTTTGCTAACGCCTGAAGTCATCTACCCTCTTTTGTTCACGTTATAGGATAATGTGAGTGCTGACTCATGGGGGTATTTTTGTTGTGGCAAGAGTGCCCATGGCTTAAAGCTCTGAACTATCAAAAGTCTTATGATGCTACTTAGGAAATGCAGCAATGGAAAAGGTACCTGGAATCAATCCATTTTTAACACCTGCTTTGTATAAATACCATAAAGTCAGTGCTAGGGAGTGGTTAGATGAAAGTCTGAACCCACTCATGTTTGGCATTTATACAGGATATGCTGGCTTACAGCAGCATCCTCAACCTTCCCTTGTGCACTACTTGGGTGGGAGCATCCATCCGTGGATGCTTCATGAAGGCTGTTGGATCAGGCCTGTAATGGCTGCTGAGAGAAGCGTATTTGCCTTCCACAGAGGGAGACGTGGGTTATAGAGGGAGTAAATGTCATTCCGGAGGTGTCAGAATCATGGCCCGAGGAACTCAGCTCTCCTGAGCTTCACAGGAACTGCTCTGCCAGTGGGAGAGCCCTGCTCTGCCTGTCCAGCAGTCAGCATGGCAGTCTGACCGTGACAGATTCCACAACACACATCCTTCAGCTTTGCTTTCAAGTTTGCAGCTGCAGTTCTGGCCAGTGAGGAGAAATGCTAATAACATATCAGAAAACCTGCTTGAATCTTGACTGCTTTACAAGGCAAATCCATTATAGTACACTAAGGATCTCATTGGCATCTGTATGATTTTTTTCATTATTATTGTTATTTTTTGAGATTTTTTTTTTTTTGTGTCTGTGTGTATGGGTATATGTGATCTGGATTTGCCCCAAACCCACAGTCTTTTGTTTGACTACCACAAACTTAATTCTTGGGAGCGAGTGTGCTCAAATGCATTATACAGACTGTGCTGCCATCTGCAGGAGGTGCTGTTATAAAAAGAGAAAACAATTTGTGAGTGAGGCGTTCGGGGTTTTTTTTTTTTGAAGTTAGGCGTTCGTTTCCCCCATATGTTCTGGTGAAAACTGTTGTAGGACACTTGGTGCCACACCAGCAGAGTAAGTGGTAGCTGTCTTGTTTTCCATTCATTTTCAGGTGCAGCATACATATTTTGGATGAGTCCTCTGGCATCCTGCAGTTGAATTTTCAGTTGTGTGGAGGGTTTTTTGTTGCCTCTTTTTTGTTCACAATTTTATTCTTTTTAAGTGCTATAAGGGTGAGGGGAAATGAATGAAGAGCTGAAATGTCAGTTCTGTTGACAGCCCTCTCAGAATTTGTTTAAAAGCCAAAGTATTCCAGTGGCAAATGGAAGCATCAACTCTTTCCTTCCGAAGAGGGCGTTTTACCAAAATAGAAAATGATGTTCAAACATAATTTTTTTTTCTTAATAATAAAAAAGCCCAATAAAAGTCAAATGTGTCTTTTTTGATCAGCAGCAAAAAGACAAAGACCAGCCCTTTAAGTCAGATGCTGTAAACTGACCTTTGGAGAAAAAGGAGAGGTTTGAGCGGTTTTCTACAAATGCTAATGGCCTAGAAAACATGTTTACCCAGGGCTGGGGGAAGGCTGCTGTGCTGCTACCAGCTCAAAATGTCCGGAATGACACTTTCATTCACAGATGTCTTTCGTCTGTGCCTCAGAGGTCCAGGGTCAAAGCAGCACCGGCAGGCAGGTAGGCAGGGGCGAAAGGTTTGATCAGTCTGCGATGGCTCCGCTCGCTCTGCATTTGTCTCTGAGGTATTGCCGCCTGGGGGGGACAGTCGGGCTCTGGTCCTACTCACTTCCTATTATCCATATGACTTGTCTCCGCCACGCTGGAGTCACTTTGATTTGCCTGATGTACTGCTTGACAAAGCTGGGTGATGGCTGAGAAGTGGATCCAGCTGCTCTGAAAAGCGCACACCTGACATGCCAGTCCTGGTGCGGGCACATCATGGGGAGCATTTTTTAATTCAATGTAATTTATGCATTCTTGCAGTCCTGTGTGTGCCTGGCCTGTCAGCCAGTGCCTAGATGAAGGCTGACAGTTGTCATCCAGGGCCTGAAGGTAGCCTCACATAATGACACATTAGACATACTAATGATGTTTTCTTCTGGCATAATGTTTTCTTCTCAACTTTCCTCTCTCCCTGCCTCCCTCCCTCTCTCCTGACTACAGGGATGCTCAGGACACAAACACGCCAAGGAGACTGTGTCTGCAGAGAATGTGGAAAATGCTTTACCCAACCCAGTCACCTCAGGACTCATCAGAGGTCCCACACAGGTACCTTTTCACACTCGCTCTTGCTTTCTCCGTTTCCCACTTGCCTGCTTTCAGGCTCAGCTAACAAAATGCCAAGAATTACATTTCACGTACCATGTTAACCTAAGTAATTCCAGTACCTAAATCTAATAGACAGGTTTTTTTATTTTTATGACTATTGCTCTTGTTCTCCAGATATTGCTTACCTGATCCCCGCCCGAACTCCATAAAATTGCAATGCATTTAAGATAAGTCTGTTTGCAAATGTTTTATTTTAATTAGAGAGTAGAGTACTCAGAAATGAATATGCTAATGAATTCTGTTGCCACCAGCACAAATTGAAATCAAAGTACCCCTTTCAGCACAACATAAGGCTTTGTTTTGCCTCATCGTTGCTGTTGACAGGAACATTTTTGTAGGAAACGAGATTTTTCCCCAGACCGGTCAGCCCTAAAATGGGATATCCCTACCAGCCATTTTTAACCTGCCACGGTCTGTGGTTGAGGCTGGAAGAGGCTAAAGCCACCGGTGTCGTGAGACCTCCTGAGCATTGCCTGAGATAGTGAGACTAGCGGGTTCCTCCTCAAAAGTGTGAATGATGCATACATAAGCCAGTCTGATGCAAAATGACAGAAGCCAAATGGTAAGTAATGCAAGAAGAGGGTCCCTTTACACATATGCTGATAATTAATGTTGTCAGTGATTGCTTTCTTCAGCGCCGAAGTCTGAATTAAAAAGGGCAGTGGCCCTAGGCTGCCATTAGCACACTCTCTTACAGTAAGTGTTACGGTAAATTGGTATTTTCCGGCCACAGGCTAGTAGCTGGTGTCTTTTTGTGAACGTGGTTAATCTGTAATGGTCTCAAATAATGTACACACACTAACGAAGCTTGAATGTTCATCTGTTAACAAGCCCCCTTGTTCCCACAGTGGTATTTGAGTCTAATGGACTCCGAGGTACTGAAGTTCACACCACCTCCGCAGATGCCCCAAAACAAGTATGTTTTACAATTAATTGGATGTTTAGATTTTAATGTGGTAGCTGGGAAAAAGTTGAACAGTGATACTCATCACTACAGCACTGGCTGTTCTATAACATGTATAAATAATAATGGTATTGCTTAATTTTTAGCTCTTAAATTTTTAAAGCATTTTATCAGAGTCTGTTATGTAGAGAGTCTGTTAATTGTTAAGCAGGTAGTTAGTGTTTAAATAAACATGTTACTGGCTTACTGGGGACTGGGTGGGATAGGTAACTCTGTAATGTGCTGTGACATGTAATAGTGAGATAGCGCATAAAGAATTCCTAAAAAGTTTCTTTTACAACTAACACATTTTCAGCTGCAACAAGACAATGGTCTGTATTTTTCTGAAGAATGTTTGTGCCCTGATACCCAGTATCTGGCCTTGAAAGGCACTCATCCACCAGTTCCTGTGGACTGTGTGTTGGCGTGCTCTTCTGTATCTAGTGTATGGTTTCCTGTCTTAACAAACACTTCTTAATGCTCTGAATTATATATGACAAAGTTGTTACGTAGGAAAACCATGAAACTGAATTTGTTTCACGTGTCTTACATCTGTGGAGACTAGTGTCATAACCTGGACCTTCCCACTCCATCTGGCAGGTGGGTTTCAGGGCATGCATTCTCATGGGCAGTTTTCTTTCATTGTGAAATTGCCTCCAGCATCGCTTGCTTTTCCTTTAATCCACATTTTTAGTTTAATTTTCACTACAGCACCTCCTGTCTCTTACTAAACTATTGCAAATGGTTTCAGCCATGCTTAGAAAACACATCTCTATGCTAGTCCCACCTTGATGAAGTTTAGGAGTTGGCTTCTACTTGCTCAGTAAACATCCTCAGCAGGCATCACCACAACTCCTAGTTCATATGCTGAGTGCTTCATGGAGACTCTTAGCACCTTCTCTGTTGCACTTGCATCTTTCTGGCCCAAAGGCTATGTGAGGAGCCCAGTCTCTGCCACAGGAGCATCTGAGTTGACATCAAGCCATAGGGATGGCCAACAATTCTCATAAAGTTTTCAATTTTGCATAGCACTTAAGTAGTTGTTGTTGTGGGCAATGTTTGCTTTGGTTTTGTTGGACGGTGACAGCAAAGTTATCCTGTAGTGCTGTCCTTATGACGCTTACTTAATAAAATTGTGCAAGGACGCATCTTTCAGTAATGGAGTCAATGACAGAGAGTGACACAGTGAGTATAGCAGTACAGCTCTGCCTACTAGCTCAGCTAGTGTTTGGTTCTCATCAGTTTAGTAATGTACATTTAGTAAACATAAATGTCTTTTAAAATGCTGTTCTATCTTTTCATGCTCACGGTTTTTTCTCATTCTGAAGGTGTCTGGGCTTTTTTCTTCCAGAAGACAATGTAAGGTCAAAGTTTGAAATACATTTCCAGAAAATTCTGAAATGGCCATATCTATCCAAAAAGAAATGTGGCAGCTCGGACCACATCTGGACTCTTCACAATTCGGGTTATATTACTGCACAATAAATTTACTCACAATCTTGTCTTTGTAAACTACTGTCATGCCAGAATTTATTGACTAACTTCTTCCACAGCAAGTGTAGCTTGCTCTTGCAGTCTCAGAGTGTGTCAATCTGTCTTCAGAGCATTTGATTAAATTACAGCATCTCTCAATACAGCAGAATACTGAGTAGGGGTTCGCTTCATGAATCGCTTCATCTCTTGCCAGTCAGTATTTCTCCCACAGAAGCTGCGGTGTGATCTCTTCTCCAGGAGATAGTTCCCTTTCTTTTGTCTTGTTTGCTCCTCAGTATCAGCCTTTGTCTCAGTTTGTCAGCGTCTGTGTCGGGTAGGATTATTCAGTTGTCTGCCGTTTTGCTTGTTCTCATCGTGAGCAGGCATCGTGCTCCCCCAGAAGACTCCACCTGCACAGTCCCTGGGCGTTACAGAGGGAATACTCTCATTTCTACCTGCAGCTGTAGGGGCCTTTAGAAGCACAGAAATGAGCTCGCACTGAGAACGGTGCCTGCAGCATTCCGTTAACATTACAATTTCCCACTTTAAACATTGTCACTCTGTGTCTCCATTTCATTTCTTAATTGGGGACAGATCTATTCATGAGAGTTTATGGTGTAAAGTCAGTTCAAGTTACAGAAGTGCCATGCACATGCTCCGAGCAAGAAACAATAGTTACCATGTACTGTAGCTTGAGAAGGAAAAGGGTTTTTTTAATGTCAAGTGGAAATGATTCACTTTACATAATGTTTCCTCCTCACAGGTAAAATATCTTCCCCTGAGTAGTCTGCTAAAGAGTAAAAATATTAACATTAGTATTTCACGGTTCCCCCATTCCCTTTTGTAGTCAACCGAAAGATCATCTCTAAAGGTTTTCTTTATGAAAAAATGTTAGGTAGGGCTTTTAAAATCCCCCAGCATGGTAGCTTACAACAGTGCTACATTATATAGCAGTTTTATCACAGAATAATTCTAATTCCTCATGTTAAAAATAGGGTCTGCAGCCAGGCTTTTTCAAAAATGAGCCAGCTAAATCTATATTTAGGTGTCTAAATAAAAACCTTACTTTATGGTAGTGAACCACCGACAGGAGACGCAGGTGTTCAGCACCACTGAGAAGGAGGTCACCTATAGGGGTGTGTAAAAAAGATCATACCCAGTTTTGAAATTATTAGCACTGGGCTGTGTTTCATGCTTTGTTATCAGCAGCCGGGAAATATAAATAAAACGTAGGAAGTAAGATGTTCATTTACTTCATAGCATTATTTACCGTGGTTTCTTACTTCTACCTGAACGCTTTAAAAAAAAAAAAAAAACCCTACATTTTTACATAAAATGAATTTCCCATGAACTCTGGAATGTTTCCTGCTCTTCTTTATATAAAGGACAAAAAATTCTCATTACATACCCCAAGTCAATACAATCTGTGCAAAGTCATGTGGATTCTCTTGAAATGCTGCCATATTAAACATATTGAATATTCTGGATATTTTTATAAATGCTAAATATCCCAATATATACATAATTAAGCTTGCTTATCCACAATGAATATGTATCTTAATTTGGAATACACTAAGCAGCATCCTAAGACATGATTTAGTAGGCATGGATTCGGGGAGCACACTCCAATTGCATATACATGGCAAGACAAAAGCTGGCTCCCCTTCAGAAGGGGCCCTGCAACCGCACATGTCTCAAAGCAAAGCTCTCCTAAAGCATGGGGTCATTTCAGAGACACTGCCTGATGCTGCAGCATTGCAGCCAGAAGCCCAATTCCCAGTGGCACAGGAGTCAGTCTCGAGCCTGCTTTTGCAAAATGGTGACAGCAGTGGTAGCAGTTTCTAATACGTATGCCTTGTGTTTAACTTCTGCTCCTGCGTTTTTTAAACCGTATAAAAACTTGGCCCACTATAGGAATATAGTTTATTCTCTATCAGTGTCAAACAATATGCTCTAAAAATGCTGAGGGACAAATAATGGGGTGTTCAAAAGGCAGGATTTACTGGTTAGCAATGAGGAAGAGTTCTGTCTAATTGAGAGTTTATATATACATGAAGCATATTTGCAGCACTGGAGCCAGAGACAGCAAGTTTTCTGTCTTCTGTGTGAGTGAAACAAGCAAAGCCCCCCAATCTCCAACCTTTGTCCTCTCTGGAAAAACACCCTTTTATTCACAGAAAATCAATTAGAAGCTACAGCCCAGGGAAAAAAAAAAAAGCCAAACCAAAACTGTTGGCATCACGAATATCTCTGGCTGAAGCTCTCCCCGTGCCAGAAGGGGATGGTGCTTTTCTGTGAAACAGCTGTGTACACCACAGTTCTGGAGCCTCATTCACTGAAAAGAGAGGTATGCAGTAGGTCCTGTGTGATGGGTAAAGCACCTTCATTAAGGTGATTTCATAAGCCTTAATTTTCTTCACTCTAAGTATTTTAAAATACTTCTCACAGTGTTCAATACTTGAAATAGCATAAATGTGCATAGTCAGAATTTGAGGGATAGACAGATCGGAAGGAACCATCAAGAAAACACTATGTGCGTGTATGTGTCTTGTAAAGGGGCTTGGGGGAAAAAACTGGGGACATCTGTTACCTATAATGTTCTTACAGTCCAGCAACACTACAGCTCTGCTTGTCCTAAAGCAGCTTTGGGGAAGAGGCAAAAAAACCCAACCCAGGTTAAAAAGTTATTTAAACTATTGGTTTGTGAGTTTGTCTGGTTTTGGTTTTCTTGAATTCAAAATTTTAGCACTGCCTGTTAGAAATCCTATTTATGACATTTGTTCATATGTAATGTCTTGCCCCAGTTCCTTGCAGAGTTTATTCCAAAGATCATGATTAATAGTTCAGTCCTCATTATTGCAAATGTTATTTTTAAATAGTTATTCTGAGAACAAGAATTCCATTAATCAAAATAATAGATAATGAACAAATAAATGGCAACCTAATTTGTCTCGTTCATACATATGGAGATTACAATGCAAACAATCAAGGAACCATGGAGGCTGCTGTATTGGCATCTAAGTAATATGCATGTACTGTATGTCCGTTACTTTATGAGCATTAGGGACAGGATTAGCAGCTGTAGTTCTTGTCCCAGCACTTTCCCCTTGCCAGCAAACCAGAGTGGTATCTGTGCTCCAAACTGATCATTGTGATTTATTTCGATGTCATGAAATAATCTGTCTCCAGTATATTAACATGCACACAAACCGATTTTTTTCCTGCTAACTGGTGAAAAGCTCGAGAAGTTGTTATGAAAGCAACTCTTGGCATGGAAGCTATAGGGTTCATGTAAGATCTGCTGGTTTTCACCTTTAAAATGCTGAAAGTGAAGAAAGCCTACTTTTTAAAAGAGTAAGCATTTCATTTCAGGAAGAATTCAATCCAACTATGTATCAACTGTTTCAAAATCTGTCTGCCCCCTCAGGCTGGTGTGAATACAAGGGGGTTAGCCACTTGGTGGGTTTGGACAACACTCTCAGGCACACAGTGGGATTACTGAGGTGTCCTGTGCAGAGGCAGGAGCTGTACTCCATGATCTTTGTGGGTCCCTTCCAACTCAGGATATTCTATGGTTCTATGATTCTAGGTACTGTTTCCCGGTGAAACTGGGAGCACAGCTGTGCATCAGAGGAGTCCAGCCACCCAAGCCCTTATAGGTGGGGGAGGATGGATTAGCCCTCTGACAGGTCGCCTGTGCTGTGTGGTCCATGACATGCAGGGTGTGCCTTCACCACCCAGCACCCCACAGGCTATCCATCCCAGAAGAATGCCCCTAATTACACCCATTTTTTCAGTTCTTACCCAAGGAAACTGGGGCAAGGTGCCTGCCATCCCCTCCCCTCCCTCCCTCCCTCCCTCCATCCCTCCTCCCCTACCCCAGTGAAGCCCTGCTGAGCTCCCCCGTGTATGTGGAGCCGGTTCGATACGAGACGTTTTAATGATGAATGCCTCCTCCTGGAATTGTGGCTGTGTCTCTCAGGCATGATGCAGCCGCGCAAAAATGTAAAGCATCTTTCTTAGTTTACTGCAGGAAATTCAGCATCCAACTAAGGCAGTTTTATCACATCTCTCATTCAGTTACTGTTTCCTACATTTCAAATATACTGCAGTCTGTACAGCGGCTTTTTTTTTCTTTAATTTTGTTGCAAATCTTTCCGACTTAAACCAAACTTTGACTGGTAAATGTCATGAATCTCAGGCCAGGTTTAATTAGGAATTTTCTAAATCTATTAACAAAAGAGATGCACTTAATACATTATGTCAACCAGAGCTGGGCTTTCTTTAGCTATTTCGAGGGCTGCCATAGGCACAGCTTGAAACTTGCTTGGATTTTACATGGGTGCCATATTTTATGTTGCATTAATTTAAAATGGTCTGTTTCACTTCATCAAGACTTTAGCTTAAGGATAATGCATTTATGTAAGATTAATCTTGCCATGTTGTTTTAGGATCAGGATTGTAAACTGCATTGTTCCGACAGTGATGTTCTAAATGTCATTTTAAAGCTTTTCTTGGGAGCTGCAGGCTTCCACTTATTCATGATGTTATCTTTAATTTCACTTGATTTTAGAATATCCCTGCTAGTTTTTTCAACGTGGTAATTATTCATGAAAATTGGCTAAGAAAATAAAAGGAAGATGACAAGGGAGGAGAAAAAGCTGCCTTACCATTTGACAGACCTGCACAAGAATTCAGTTATTCTTCATTTAGCTGCCTCTGTGACCTCAAACTTCAGCCTTTTTAAAGTGCTGATCTAGTTATGTACCCCTTTTGGCTAGCACAAAATTCTACTTTTTGGAAGCCTCTTCTTTCCCTCCTTGTTCTCACCCTTTCCCAAGCTGCTCCATCAGATGCTATTACTTGCTGTTCTAGACCATTGGGGACTTCATATGGGCCTGACACACTTTGGTCTTGGTGGAGACGCCTTAAAAAACAAACCCCAAGAAAATTGTCATGTGGTGGGTCAAGATGAATGTACGCGATGCTAATAAAGGGTAACGAATGCCGGCAGGACTTGCTGGAGGGTTGTGCCTGAGAGCAGAGGCAAGAATGAGCTTTTCCTTCTGTTGTCCTTCTTGCAGGGGAGAGACCACGGCGGTGCGGAGGTCACCCACACACTGCATCTCCGGAAGGGAACCTAGAGCCTGGGCTGAGGAGCCCCCGTGGCAGCGGCTCCCACCCCGAGGGGCAGCCCCCCGCGCAGCTGCCCTGCACCCCGGCGGCTGCAGAGCAGCCCCCTTTGCCAGCCATCTCCTCCTCACCCGGAGCTGCTGCGCGAGACTGAAACCAGCACTCTGCCAGGAGGGGGGTGCCTCTGCGCTGTTAATCATTTTAAAATAAATGAAGATGCTACACGAGATATATATAAATTGACGTACTAATCAGTCCCATGGTTCCTTATTTCCTTTATAATAAACAGTGGAGTTGGCAAGCACTGTGGCAGCACAAGGCATCTATATTAATCAAGAGAAGTTTGAGACACTGGAAAAATTAAACTTTATGTGGTTTGGACAGCATGAAGAAGTTAAGCACTGTAACAAAAACCTCCCTGATGCTCACAATGACTATTTGATACATTTGAAAAACAGCAGTGGATTCGAGGGCTGGAGAAGTATTAATTAATGAAACTGCCACTGCCTGTCATGCTGAAAAGCAAATAGAAAAAAAAACCAACAACAACAGAGAGAGGAAGAATGGGGGGTGCGGGGGAAAAGGTGGCACTCGGTGCTGAGAAAGCAAGGCTTGATGAAGGATTAAAGGGACTAAAGAGAAAGACCGTCATTCTGCAATGGTTTGTTTCATTACAGTTTGGGGACCACTTGCATTTCTAGTGCTCTTGCTCTTGACTGCGCACCGTTAATAGTATGTGAATATGGAAATTGAAACACTTCCAGAGAAAAGCTTCTATTCTGCTTTAGAAAAGAAAAGCTAGTCAAACACTAAGAAAAAAACAGGCTTCTGTGTTTTACTCTCAGGACCTTTTTTTTTTTGTAACAGGGCTACTTTCTTCAACCTGATCACAAAGAAGTCTTCACTTCGGGGGGAAAAAAAAAGAGGAAATAATAAAATAAAACATTCAGCTGTCTAGCACCGCTGATCTGTCTGTTCAGAAGAGAAAAGGTGTCACTGAAGGAGTTCAGGCAGCCCTGGGGCAGTAAGGTGATCTCTGCTCCTGCTTTTGGCTCAGCAGGCCAGCTGCTGCACCTCCCTGGGCCCAGTGACTGTTTTGGAAAGACAAGGAACTTCTTTTGTGGTGGCAGGTTAATGTTCATATAAATGTGTCATGTCTTGTACTTGGTGATCACTGGTGGTGTTAGGAAAAAAAAGAAAAAAAAAAAGCTTTATATACCTCTTCTACAGTAACTCTTTAACTGCAAGTTTTCAAGGTGGGGTTGTGGCACATAACAGGTTGTTGAACCATGCAGTGTAAGCAATTAAAAATGTATTCCACAGATATAAATATTTTCTTTTCTTATTGCTGTGACACTATGTGTGATGGTAATATTTCTGAGAGTTTCAGATTTTGCACATATAATTTTATGCATTATCAAAAGTTACTGCTGCCTTGGAAGAAAATGTTCTGTGAAAATTTTTGCAAAAGCTTTACTAGTTTGTTTTTTTTAAATTGTAACATTTTGTAAAGGCAGGAAATGGGAGTTAAAAAAGAACTAGCATGCTAAATATATTTTTCAAAAAAGCAATAATTTTACATGTACAGAAATGATGCTAACCTTTAATACAGGTGAGACCACAGTTTACTTAATACAATAATGAAATAGTGCTGTTTTTGTAGAAATGGGCTTCTGACACAAAGATTTGTTTAAAAAAAAAAACAAAAAGCAGAAAAAACCTTAAGGCGTGATCTTTCTATTCTAACAGTTTCAGTGGGTGGGGGGTTTGGTTTTTTTAAAAAAAATCTAGTCAGTAATTGGGTCTGGATACTACTTGTTACTTGTTTTAAATTACTTGACAGGTTTTTGTTACTTCGCAACACTTCCAACAATGCAAATTAACTTTCTTATGTATTTTTTTTAAACTAGTTTTTCCTTATGCTATTACACGAGATGTATACCAGAATTCTCTGTAAGTCTCGGTGTAGTTAGGAATGTCTGTGCAAGTACTTATAAGTGACTGTAATTAACTGTTCTGTGAAGTTATTTTGAGGGAGGTCGCATAGACACATTCCATTGTACACCAAAAAAAAAAAGGAGAAAAAAAAGGAAAAAAATGAAATATTTTGCTGTGTTGCTTAATGATTATCATTTTGGGTTTGCACTAGCTTTGTCAGTTTGTTTGGGTTTTGTTTTTTTCTTCAGTTATTTTATTCCTTTCGTTTTTGTTGCTTTTCTGAGTCATATTTTCCATGAGAGAAAGTAATGGTGACAGTTCAGGAATGCACAAAAGCTAGTTGCTTAACCTGTTTGTTTGTGGTTTAGTTATTAAAAACTCTTCTGTACCCAAAATGGCACGAAAGTGTAGTGTACATTTGTAATTTCTCCTTTTTTAAATTGTATTTTTTTGGCAAGCTGATCTAGAAAATGTGACTTAATATTTAGATCCACAAGCTTCTTTCAGGAGCTTTTCTTCCAGAATCTTTGACAGAGAAGCTAGTGCTGTCACTGCCATTACCAGGGTACTAATCAGCAAAGTTTACAATCATAATTTAGCTTCATGAAGAACAACAGTAGGGGAAATCAGTTTAAATAATTATATGCTGTGTATAGCACAGAAATGAGATTTTCACTTAATTAAACAAGAAATAAGAGCGGGTGGGAGAAAGCCAACCTTAAAGACCATCTGTTTTCAAAAGCAAATCCCACAATTTCTGTTTTCTTCTTTATCATTGTATTGTATTGATTTGTTATTTTAGTTAGGCTGTAGTATTTAAAATGAGTTGTGTTCCTTATTTATTTAGTCAATGGGCTTTGATCAGCTCTTTTAAGCAACGTGATAAGTTTTTTTGGCATGACACACTCCTGTAAAGCCCTTTTATGACTGTTACAGGGACTTTCTACTACCTCTACCAATCTACTGTTTCTTCTTAACAGGTTTTTATGGTGTTGCAAGTCTAATGTAACTTAGACAATAAAGGGTTTGATTATCTACGCTGCAGATTCTCAGTGTATCTGCCATCTCTCTCTCTCTTTCTCTCTTCCTCTCTCTGGATTTTGTGCAGTTTATTATAGCTAAAGTGTGGAAGATCTCATTTGTTATAGCTGAAGTGAAAGGCAGACCACCTTTGCCAGCGTATTTTTGTATCCTGAATGTTGTACACTGACCAAAAGTCAAACTTGAAGAAACTTTTTTCCACAGAGCTAATCAGCTACTACATTGCCATCATGCTGTTTGCGTTCTTGAAATTCCTTCTGTCAGAAATGCTGTGTATAAATTGGTGCATTCTGCAAAACGTAAAGCCAGTTAGAAAGTCAAAACAGTTTTTAGGTTTGTATTTTAAAACCACGTAAAGTCCTTAGTGAAAAGCATAAATTGCTGCCCCCATCCTATTGAAGACTCAGCTTATATGAAAATGACTAGTTTTTATCCTTTAGAAAATAGCATCTTCTTGTTGATTGAAAAAGTGTTCTGATGTTAACTGTAAGCTAAAAATCTGTCACTGGAAAGAATTCCAGGTGTTGACATCATGCACATTTTGTGGTAATCCCTGTAAATGTGTTGCTGCCTTCTAGGGCTTTGGAGTGCTCTGTGATGTGGAGCACGTGCGTATGTTTGTCCTACTCAGTGCATCAGAGGGTATGTGATGTTTTGAGCCACTTCGCAAAACTGTCTTACTCAAGTGGGAGTGCATCCCCCCTGTTCACTCATCTTCATGCCCAAAGGGTTTGTGACCAAGCCTGTGCTTGGTTTTGATCTCCTTCCTTGCTGTACTCTTATGCTGGGCTACCTCAAGTCTATCTCAGCAGCTCCACCAGGAGTGCTGGAATTCATTGAGTTAAGTGGGGATTTCTCCTTCAAAAACCGATCTGTCACGAGAAGACCTGGAACAAAGCAAGAGGTAACTTCTTTATTGGGTTCTTACTACATAAAATGTGCTAGATTAAAAGTGAGAAAGTTGCATTTTACGACAAGTCCAATTTCCCTCCAAGCCAATATTTTTAAGCTAGCAGTTCTGTGCACAGCACTGAATTGCAGTCTTCTTCCCTTGTGCTCTCCTTTTTTTTTTTTTTGCTGTGTATGACATCCCCATTCTTTGGGGCAATCCAACGTTCAGAGGCAAAGGTCATGGATTCACTGAGAGCTTATAGGTAAGGAGCTTCTGCTTGGTCCCAATATTTAGAGTAACACAAATGAAATGGAGCGTGTTAATATCTATAAAAACTTCTTCCACTTTAGTTTTTCATTATAAATTATGAAATTACTGTTTCTGGAGCAGCTAGGGGTGTAAAGCAGTTAAAGGTCAGTGAAAATGTAGACATACTCCAGTATTAACTGCTCCTCATGGTGCTGTGTATGTGCTGACATTTTTGAGAGGTACTATAACCACACATTGGTATCATTAGCTATCTCAAGGTAGATGGTAGCTGTTGCAAACTTAGTTATGCTTGTATTTTTTTTCTTCAAATATATTAGTGTGGCTTTTGGGAGAAAGAAAACCAAACCCAACCCTAACCCCCTTAAAAAATCAATCTGTAGGTGCTGGGTATAAGCAACTATTTCCAAACTGATCATGAGTTACTAGTCAAAGTGAGGGATGCTTTCACTATTCAGAGAGAAAAGGATGTGCTGTGAGTAGGAAGCTGGCACAGACCAGGGGTTCATTTTATTGTGGCTTAGGTAAAGGGATCAAGAACATTCCCATGACCCAGCTCTGTGGGTTTGAATGCTGAGGTGGATGTTGCTTATAGGACCATAAGCAAGAGAGATGAAGAAAGCACATGAAAGATCAGTAAGGGGCTAAGTTTTGACCCTCTGAAATTGAAATAAGTAGATGGAAAGTGGTGTCTGAGAAAGGCTAAAGCTGAGGACAGGACCAAGAAGACAGGGCAGAGCAAGAGATTCAGAGGAAATGAGAGGTTTCACCATATGAAAAAGTTGCCAAAAAGGGCAAAGTCACCAGAGAGAGAGATCAAAGGGTTATGGAGATGGAGCAGAAACTCTGAAACCTAACCAGAAGAGATGTGTG